ATGTAACATATATTTTAAGAAACAACAGAACATATACACAAATACAAATATAACAAATACAAATATAAATATTGCTGAATATATTTTTCCTGTATGTTTTATATGGTGTCCAATATTACTTTCATTCCTTTACAGACATTTTATCAAACTTTATACACCCTTTATACTTCATGAAAGAAAATATATAATTTAATTAATCACATTTTAATTATTTTTTATTAATTCATAAACATAAACGAATTTGTATATAACTTATAGCTTAAACTTAAATTCTTACAAATTAGACGTTTTAGATATAAAATGAGTATCGTAGTTAATCTATCTTTTACTGTTTACTATTTACTGTTTTGTGTATATTATTCGGCGAATATGATTTCATTATTATAATTTTTTATTATTATCTAATTAATTTGCTAAGTTACAGAGCTGGAAAAATATAATAAGAGAACTAAATATGAAGCTAAGAGCTATACATAATAACACTAAGAGTAACTTAAAGAGATATACAAAATATCTAGACTTTTTATTTACAAAATAAATATAATATTCGCAAATAGAATAAAAAAATGTTGAGAACATTTCTGAGAGTTCAGTAAAAATAACAACAGAGAGCGGTACGAGTGTCACATGCACTCATATTAAAACTTCATTTCGAAAATTAAAAATATTTATTTTTGCTTTTATTATTTATGAGGTTTAATATTTAATAAATATTTAAATTGTTTGTATATAAAATAATAACAAATTTATTACTTACAAATACCCAATTTGTGTGGAAATACATTATGCCACTTAAGGTTTATGAAGAATAAAATTTATAGGTTTCAGCAATAGAAGAAAACAAAGAAGTAACACAAATTTATCAACTCTGCTTGACCATGTATGAAAGCATAGCGCTTTGTTGCAAAATTAGCTCTAACAGAACTAAAAGAACTAATTGAAGCAAATATTCTATATTCTGGCCCGCAAAATTCACGCTACGTTTTCAAAGACCGCAAAATTTTATACTAAAATGGATTGAGTCAGATATTTTGTCATACTACAGACAAACAAGTTCAGCCAAAATAGAGAAAAATAAATAATCACAATCACAAAGGCGAATAATCGACATCGACAACAGAGAGTACTGGAAACAATATCAGCGATACTGATTAGTTATATGAAGTAGTACGAAGTCTATAGTCTATGTCGAAGAGCGAATTTCTTTGTAAGTATCTGACAATTGCATGAGAAATTCTGAATAGAAAATAAAATTGATTCGAGTAAAAATTTTATAAAATATAAACTTTAGTATCAGTTGAGAGAGCTTGTTAATTGATTATTTGAAATGTCTAAATATATGACAACTATCAGTTAACACTGTTAGCTTCAAAGTTTCAAACGTCATTAATAATTAATTTCACATTAAACTATTTACGTCAGAATCAATTAATAGTTCACACAATTCTAATAAAAATAATTAAATTAAAATAAATAAAAAAAAATATTTGATTGAAATTTGAAAATATGTTATTAAGTTATTAAGTGGATATGTGGTGTTATGTGATGAAAAACCAACATATGAGATGGTTTTATGAAGAAGTTAAGCCAAGTAATTTATTATTAAAATTTGTTTGTTAAATAAAATTCAAAAAAAAAAAATAAAATAAAATATTTTAAAAATATTTCTATTATAACTGTCATATCTTGTCTTGTTAATTATATACTTTGATAAGTTAGATATTACGCACATGTACTGTCAAAATTTAATGATTTTTTGATGAATAGAAGGGGAATTCTTACATCTAACGTGATATAGTCAGATGTCATTGATGTCACTTGTTAGATGGCTCTTAATATTTCTTTAAAAGAGAGTACAAAACAGTAACCAATTCTATACTAAAAAAGTTGAAAACGGTTCTATAATGTATTTTGTAGTGATGTCAGTGTCCTTCTTTACTGAAATTCTCTATCATACCTATGTTTTCGTTACCAATATTAATATATTAATTAATGTACATTAATTAATATAATATAATACATTAAGTAAGGTACTAATTTTATTTGATAATCTTGTTTATCTTGTGGTAGAATTTATAGTATATGCAGTTCAAAAACATAATTCCAAATCCATATTAATTGCAAAGACATCATCGAATTTGTGGATGAATATTAATAATATCAGTAAAAAGTTTTCACTGAAACACAGCAAATTGGAATTAAGTACTCTAAAAACACAAATTTATCACAAATATTTGGGCTAATAATAATCCTGTACATAGTTCGTTTCGCAGTAGTTAAAGTAGCTCGTAGGTAATTTTTGTTCCTTCCGACGATTTACACTTACGATCAATTTTTAAATAAAAATTCCATTTTAACTATCAATCACTTCCTACATCATTTAATTTAGCATAGTAAGTCTTTATGCTTTTTGAAAATTTTTTTAAACTTTTTCATAGGCATTTGCATATTTGTCAGTCTTTAATGGTTGTAAGAGACGTACAAAAACTTTGAACCAATAATCTGAAGAAATATCACTTCAGGCGCAACAACTCAGGCGAAAAAAGTAATAGTTCTCGAAGAAAAAGATTCGCTAAAGTCAAATATAACAACAATGACGCAAGTAAGTCCGAACATAGTAATTGTGATGTTAAAAAATATAGTTGAGAAACTGAACTTTAATTGACGGAGCACACAAGTGCCAGTTCCAAACCAATAGAAATCCAAAATTTAAAGCCCGCAAAGATCAATGAAATAGCATCATAGAAAAAAACGAAAGATCTCAATTTAGTATTATCCAGAATATGTAGCAGACTAAGCATCTAAAGTATATACTCGACCTGCATACATTCAAACAAGCACACATGGTGTAACATATTCAAATCATAAAATTTCGATTCCGGTGATCAGTTCGATTATCTTACATGCAGCCCGTATATGAGTACAAGCTCTGAAATAAGTAACGTTTAAGCAAACGATTGAAAGACGTAAAATATCTAAGGAAGGGGATTTAGCTGTCTCCATCTACATACAACAGAAAATTCCATGAAGAACACCAAATTAATAGCATGATAAAATGACAAGCACAATAACAGCAAACTGTGACTCTGAATAGAAAAAGTAACCTTATCTATCCCAGTGATAAATCAGTTACGCTCTTTTTATTTTATTTCTGGATATGTCTTTAATATAAGCAGTTAAATATAGGACCCAATTTTAATACACTTTGTTTTGCTATAGAAGAGATGGAGGATATAAAAAGGTACAAATAACTGTCACTCTTGATATGAGAACTTCAAAATCAAGAGTTTATATACGAATAATTGTACTGAAGAAGATATTGATGTTATAAGAAACAATGCAGGCTAAAATTATGTGAATAATAAATAGTTAATATTCTACTATTAAATATCTTCTATTAAAAAATAACTTAAGTTACAATAGAGATAGAAGGCAAAAGCTATGTAAATAACTGACACTTTTCATATAAATATCCTAAATGTTGTCCTAAGTAAATAGTTCAATTTCATATACTTTTAGTTCTACGATTAAGAAGAAATTAAACAGGATAGGAAGCTAAATAAAAAAAATAAAGGTGAAGGATAATATTCAAATAATCTTTATTTTAACAATAAGCAAGAAAAGATAAATGTTAATAACTGACATTGTAGATACTTCCAAAATCTACTGTTATTAAGAAATAACAGTAGATACTTCCTTCAAAATAAAAGGAAGATAAAACAATATAGTATTAAGTATTATAAGTAATAATACGACTTTTTGGCTTAAAAATTTGAATTTAGATACTTTGATTCAATGATTCACAAAACTATTTTAATTTTTCACACAAATTTAATCTCTTTGTACTTAGTACATGTCTTATGTGATACTTTAAATAATATTCATTAAATACATTATTCTAATTAATTTGACAAAACTTTTGAATTGCTTTAACACTTAAGTGCAATAGAGCAAAACTCAAACAAAACAAAGTAAAATGCTTTTAAAAAAGCGTGAGAATAAATTTCTCACCTTCATTTCAAAAAAAAAAAAAAAGCGTTAAATTAATTATAACATACATGATAATAAACAATTTTTTTTTTAATTCGATAAGATATCTTTTTTTATCTACAAAGCGATAATTTAGATGACTAGCAAACAGTAACTTTTGTATTTAGTCAATTCAATACTTATTCATCGCATTCGGTAATACAGAATAAAAAAACATTAATTGATTTAAACTTAACTATATAAGAATAGATATATTAATTATATAAATGCATTATAAAAAATAATTATACTTAAATCTAAATATTAATATTTCACTAAAATAAAAAATATAATTTGCCGCTTCCAAAATATAACTGGATTTCCACAAACTTTTCTACTTTTATGTATGTTCATGAACTATGAATAGATAAAAATTCTTTACTATTATTAACATTAAAAGCATACTTTTTGGCTGAAAACTACAGTATTAAATACAAAAATGAGCTTATTTGCCAATTTATTCATTTTCTTTATATAATATAAAAGTAATTACGACAAATATTACTAAACCGTAGCAGTAAACTATTTAATCATACCACAAAAAAAAAACATTATAATAATATTATAATAATAATAATAATTATTTATAAAACTACAAATGCTAGTAACTGTAGTGCATAGACAATTTAAATTTTTAGAAGCCCACTTTAAGGCTTATAAGCAAAATAGATACAGTTTCAGTTAAATATATAGAAAATTAGATAAACGAGTTTAAAAGCAGTTTGGCAGTTAGTCAAGTTACATTTACAATAGAAAATCTTAATTAGAAATTTAGTATGTAGGGAAAAAAAGTTATAAAAGTATTTCTGAACTTTTAGAAGGAACGAAAAGTGTAGAATTGAAAAGAGAAATAGGATATCAAAGGATAGATAGCATGGTGAATTGGTTTGGAAATTCATAAATATGTACTTAAAGTTATAAAGATTATAATAAATAAAAGAGTATATAAATTTATTTTAAGTATATCTTACCGGTTTTGCTTTGGGCTTCTGCTTTCCCAAACGCTTCTGCTTCAACATATTCCAATTGGCCGCTCTGTTACGCGGATGATATGAAGTTAAGCGCGCCTGCGGTCGGTTGTATCCTGCCGCCAGCGCCAATTTTGATTATGGAAATGACTTAATTTTTGGTTAGAGCTATGAGGTATCGTTATGTAATGGAAAATTTGTATACGCTTATTTTTTATGTATCTATATATAAATTTAAAATGAAATATTGTTTTGAACAAAAATCAAATATCTTTTTTTGAATCGTTTTATTATTTAAAAATACATTATTATTTAGACAAAAAAAAAAACAAAAAAAAGAATTCATAATTTTACTCAGCAACACTAATCAGGTGAAAAGTTCCATTTTATCACTATATAGTATATTTTATTTATTTGTTATTTTTTTATTACTAAAACCCAATGTAATAATGCATCGTGTTCAATAATATATTTTTCTTGAGGAATTTGATAACAAGTTAGCATCTTCAATACTTATACTCAAAAATTGCTATTTACTTTTTTGATCCACTGTAATAAATTATAAAAACATATTTTGTCAATGTACGCTGACTACTTTGACCTTTAGCTGCTGGTCTAGTCTAATTGTCTAGGACAACATTTATACGTGTTATACCAAATAGGCATTTTTTACGCTTAAGTCAATTGAGGACTAAATTATCTCATCAACCATGTTGCAGCTAAATCAATAAACTGAAGTAACTTCCTAGGAAAGTCAATAAATGCAATTGGGAAAGTCCATTCATAAGTTTGGAGCATTTGGCTCTGCCACCTGAGATTAAAAGTTAATATTATTTGTATAGATATGTAATACTATCCGTATAGATATATACATATTTGCTCTTAAAAATTGGAAAAATCCAACATTTATTAGTAAGTAATACTTGAATTTGTGGAAAAATGTGCTCCGGCTAGAAAGGTGTACCTCTCCGCGGTAGAGGACATTCGCATCTTCGGTGGAAGTGTTTAAGGAAAATGAATGTTTCAACGTTTAAGGAAAATGATTGGTTAGTTCAAAGCTTACTTTCTAAAATAAGCTTACTTTCTATATTCTTATATATTATGTGTTTTTTAAAGTAGAAATTCATGTCTGTAGTATCTAAACGCCATAACCATAAATTATTTCTATATCTTTATATATGTATTATATGTGTATTAGGGAAGATATTCACGTCTTTATATACTGAAGCGTCATAACGATAAATGATAAATGTTTTTAGATCTTCAAGTTCACAACATTTTTTGTTTGATCTCAGTGAATGTATAGCATTAATGATCTTTTAAGTACTAATATTTATAACTTTAAATATGATTGTCACCTTAATGATAGTACTAATGCTAATAATAATATTTGATAGTTTTACAATTTATTTAAATTAAAATCAAAATTATTAAGAGCATATATATATTCATAATGAAACCGATCATTTTTATATGGAACTTTATATTACCTATATGCCCATTTTATAAACTTATATATAAACTAAGAATTATAAAAAATAAATATTTTTTAAAATAAATTAAGATACATTATTAAATTCTTTAACTATTAAACAACAAGTAATTTTCCTTTAATATTTCAATTCCCTCTTTAACTTATGTATAACAATGTTTTTCAAAATTATATAGGCTTTTGTATCTAAATAGCATATAAATGAGAATTGTGAGTATATCATAACGATATGCAGTTGACCCTTATGTTAATGTAGTTATAATTTCCAGGCACCAGGGACACAATTTAGAATAAGTTAATTATGTTATGCATAGTATGTACATTATTCCATTGAACCATATGTTATAGAGACAAAAATAAAGTGTTGACGATACGATATGAAATGGAAAACCTCTTCACCATTAGAATTTGTTGATGATTAAAATTATGAATGTTATTTTTGGACAAAAGACAAATTATCAAAAACACATTAATGACAATATTACAAAAATCGATTAAGTAAAATTTATTGTTTTTTTTTATATTGAAATATATTATATTTTAAAATTCTTACCTTTCGAGGTTTTCTTAATGAAACAGTACGTGAATAGTGGTGATAAATTTGGACATGATTCGAAGTAAATTTTCCCAACATCGGTTTTGGCTTGTCAAACTTTTAGTGTACACTAAGGAATAAAACTGTAAATATAGAAAAAATATATATTTTTAAAATTTATAAAGTAAAACTTAATAATATTTATATTGCTAAAGGATAACTATTGAATTTTAGTAAAACTTA